TTTTTCTTCTTTTTCTTTTTACAATTTTATCGTTTTAGTGAAAGAATAAGAGAAAGATTCGTTTTTTTTCGAAAGAAACTTTAGAAATACGGATTAATTGCAAGAGAACACTGCTGAATTTCAGAAATTCCCATTTTTCTCTTTAATTTCTTCAAACAATCGAATTCCATTTCTTTAAACAATCGAATCCCTTTCTTCAACCAATAGAATTCCCGTTCTTCCATCAATCGAATCCTCATCATTCCCATCTTTCCTTTAATTCCTCCAATCCCTCCAATCAATCGAATTCCCGTTCTTCCATCAATCGAATCCCTTTCTTTAATCAATCGAATCCCCTTTATCGAACCAATAGAATCCCCGTTCTTCCATCAATCGAATCTTCACCATTCCCATCTTTCCTTCAATCCATCCAATCCCTTCAATCAATAGAATGCCCGTTCTCCAACCAATCGAATCCTCACCATTCCCATCTTTCCTTCAATCCATCCAATCCCTTCAATCAATCGAATCCTCATCATTCCCATTTCCTCTTTAATCCCTCCAATCAATCGCATCCTCACCATTCCCACCTTTCCTTCAATCCCTTCGATCCATCCAATCAATAGAATTCCCGTTCTTCAATCAATCGATCCTCACCATTCCCATCTTTCCTTCAATCCATCCAATCCCTTCAATCAATAGAATGCCCGTTCTTCCATCAATCGAATCTTCATCATTCCCATCTTTCCTTCAATCCTCGAATCCAATCGATCCTGCCCACTCCCATCCCCTCCAATCTCTCCAATTTGCGTCGTTGTGCCTCTGGGGAAAGTAAACAAAATAGAAAGACTTCATCAGGTCTCAACGGCGCGAATCGGTGAAGAAATCGTTTTCAAAACAAAATTTTCACCATTCTTGCACTATTTTCATTGAAATGAATGCTGTGTTTATGGGCTAAAAGCCTTTTTTTTACCCTTTTACTTCAGTAAAACTAGGTGGAAGCTCGCTCGAAAATCTCGAAAATCTCGAAATGAATTGAATACGTAAAATTTGCGTTTACAGAAAAGCTAAAAGCTGAAATCTTAAAAAGGGATTCTTTTATTTTGCACAAATATTAAAGCATATACATACAAATAGATGAAAGAAAAGCCGGGAAAATCTCTATTTCTTTTTGCCGATCCCGAAAAAGGGCAAACCATTGGCGAGACATCTTCCCAATTGACAAATCATCCCTGGAGGACACGAAATACCATTGTGACACGCTGGAATCAGTGCATTCGATAATGAAGAACGTTTTTTTTTCATTCTTGTGACAGTAAATCAAGAGAACTAATTGAATCCTGCAAAGTTAACCTAAAAAAACAAAAAAGACTGTTAGCGGACTCGAACCTAGGCCAGGACTAGATAGTCCTGCCCTTGAATCCTAGAGCATTACCACTCGGCCAGGGCTGCAAGCAGGCAGGAGGCAAAAGACAGGGTTATAAAAGAGCCGCCGCTTGATTTCTAGCAAAAGCTTCTTTTCTTTTATTTCTTCTAACAAAACTTTAAACGCTTCTAACTTTTGATAGAGTGCTTTATAGCAAAAAAAGAAAATCAGCATCGATCAGCGATCAAGATCACCATGAAATTCTGCGTTGCATCGTCTGGCCAAATCGTCTGGCCAAATCGTCTGGCCAAATCGTCTGGCCAAATCGTCTGGCCAAATCGTCTGGCCAAATCGTCTGGCGTCTGGCCAATCTTTGCCTTTCTCTTGTCTGGGTAGACAAAAGTCTGATCACTATAGCTTTTAAATATAATAGAGAGCCCAGGTTGGCCGTAAGAGGTTGATTTCAGCAATCGATCCCTTGTCGTCAACCTTGTCACCTTGTCAAATCTTGTCATCTTATCAACCTTGTCAAATCCATTTCTAGAAGCTACTTTTAACCAGTAAAGCACTAGGAATTCTTGAGTTGTCAATGGAGTGCGATTGGCTTGGCTTTTCGTTGACTGGCTTTTCGCTGGCTTGAAAACTGGGAACTCTGGTGCTCCCTTTCAAGCATTCATTTAAATTCTCACTCACCAAACGTTGTGCTCATCGGGTTTTTCATGCAAACGCCACCCATACAAAACTCGCCAACCGGACAAACGGCGCCCGTCATACAGGCTGAAAATTTGCTCTACTAGCTCTAGATCTTTGATTTACTTGTCTGTTGTGGGGCCACTTGACTCCCGGCAAAGGCCACGTTACTCTGAAATTGAGAAATCTACCTTATAGCTTTAAAAAAGAACCTTTCCTGACAGAACCCGTTCACAGATTTGCCCGTTTAGACATTGTTGCATCAAGTTGCATGGAAAATCCCTGAAATCGATGAAAATGCATGAGAAAATTAATGAAAATCGCTGAAAATCGGTGAAAATCGCTGAAAATTATTGACTATTTGCTTTAAAAATGTTCCTTTAATAGAGGAATAGAAAAGAAAGATAGTAAGATAGAGGGACAAGCTAGTCAAGATAGAGAGGACAAGTGAAGCAAAGACAGAGGGGACAAGCCTGGGGCCAAGGATAGAGGGACAAGTTTAGCAAGGACAGAGGGACAAGCTAGTCAAGATAGGAGGGACAAGTAGAAGGAAGACAGAGGGGACAAGCTAGTCAAGATAGAGGGACAAGTGAAGCAAGACAGAGGGCAAGCTTGGGGTCAAGATAGAGGGACAAGTGAAGCAAAGACAGAGGGACAAGCTAGTCAAGATAGAGAGGGACAAGTGAAGCAAGACAGAGGACAAGCTAGTCAAGGATAGAGGGACAAGTGAATAAGACAGAGGGTATCGTTAAAAAAGGAGTCAAGATAGGGGACAAGTGAAGCAAGACAGGAGGACTTGTAGTCAAGATAGAGGGACAAGTGAAGCAAGACAGAGGTACAAGCTAGTCAAGATAGGAGGGACAAGTGAAGGAAGATACAGAGGGACAAGCTAGTCAAGATAGGGGACAAGTGAAGAAAGAGCAGAGGGACAAGCTAGTCAAGATAGAGGGACAAGTGAAGCAAGACAGAGGGACAAGCTAGTCAAGATAGAGAGGGACAAGTGAAGCAAGACAGAGGGACAAGTAAAGCAAGACAGAGGGACAATAAAGAAGACAGAGGGACAAGGATCAAGATAGAGAGGTCAAGATATAGTCAAGACAGAGGGACAAGTGAAGCAAGACAAAGTTAGGACAAGCTAGTCAAGACAGCTGAGCAGCCAAAGACCCAGATTCAGATCTTGCTTTTAACCTCTTCAAGAGTCATAAGGTCTTTCTATGCCTGACTATCGTATTCTTGGTGTCCGGATGTCCGGGTCCAAATCCGAATCAAATGCGGATCTCTACAGAAGCATACAACAAACAAAAGACGACTACACGACAGTACTAAACGTCTACAAAGCACTACTATGAACTGTCTATTAGAGTGTAAGCGTAGTTGTCTTTTCGTTCTTTGTATGTTTGTGTAGAGGTTGAGATGCGGATTCGACATCCAACTCCGGATCCAACTCCGGAATCCAACTCCGATCCAACTCCCGATCCAGCTCCGGATCCAGCTCCGGACATCCAGCTCCGGATCCAGCTCCGGATCCAGCTCGGATCAGCTCCGGACATCCCGTAGCTGTTGACTCACCTCTAAACCGCTTTCAAAAACGTCTCCGTTTCCCGCAATTTCGAGGAGATTTCGGAGCAGGACGAAGAGGAAAAAGCCGACTTAAAAGCACTGATAAGGCGAAACGGCAAGACTGATTTGATAGGGTTAAAACTTTGATGAGACCAAAAAAACCCACCAGAAACCCCAATTAATGCCAGCCGCTGATCCCAGCGAGACGTGACTCCACCGTATCCACCGTATCCACCGTATCCAGCCGTGCCCAGCCCACTCATCGTCCCAAGACCACCCCGCCATAACCACCAAATCACCGAGAAGACGCGAAAGGTTAAACCTTAGAACACGATAGCCTATGAAGCTATGGTAGCGAGGCGTAAAGTCGCGTAAGGTCTAAGTCGAAATGTTCCTCTTTCTCTGCTTTCAGCTACGATTTTCGTTTAATTTTCAATCGATAGCTCTTAAACCTCTTTCCAAAGCACAGAATTCTTAGAACAAGTTCAACTACGCAACTTTACGAGGTGTTCTTATTAGAGGATCTGGGTAAGATCTATTGCTAGAATATTGCTAGAATATTGCTAGAATATTGCGAGATCTATTGCGAGATCTATTGCTAGATCTATTGCTAGATCAATTGCTAGAATATTGCTTTAGATCTATTGCTAGATCTGTTGCTAGAATATTGCTAGAATATTGCTAGATCTATTACTAGATCTATTGCTAGATCTAATGTGTGGATACGTTTGCTAGATCTATTGCTAGATTTATTGGTTGTGAATATTGCAGTTTAGAATATTGCTAGATCTATTGCTAGAATATTGCTGAGAATATTGCTAGAATATTGCTAGATCTATTGCTAAAATATTGCTAGAAGTATTGCTAGATCTATTGCTAGAATATGCTAGATCTGCCTGCTGGATGCCTATTGCTAGAATATTGCTAGAATATTGCTAGATCATATTGCTAGAATATTGCGAGATCTATTGCTAGATCTATTGCTAGAATATTGCGGGAATCTATTGCTAGAATATTGCTATACAGTTGTTGCTAGATCTATTGCTAGATCTATTGCCAGAATATTGCTAGAATATTGCTAGATCTATTAAAAAGCTAGATTATTGCGAGTCTATTGCTAGATCTATTAGGCTAGAATATTATGAGATTTGGTTGATCCATTTTTTGTTTGTTTTGAGCGCTTTCAAAAACCCCAACATCAACCTCAAGGTCAAGGGTTTTCTTTAACAAAAAAAAAAAAGTAACGAAAAGTGCTTGAAAATGTGACTCCACAAGTGTTAGAATTTTTAAAAACTCAAAAAAAAATAAAAAGTTTCTAAAGACCTATAAATTTAAGAAAATAAAAAACTTTTTGAATAAAAATGAGTTCTTGGATGCAATCGTCAACTGTCATCGTCGATTTGAAAATGTTCCTCCAAGCTTTTCGACCTTGAAAATCCTACATTAACAACCTCCGTCAAACCTTACAACGAATCCAACGGCACCTTTCGTTTAATGAGTCCACCACACCACGTCGACTTCCCTACGCTCCGTGAGGCGTACTGAGAGAAGTCTAGAAAGTCTAGAAATTTTCGCTTTCCTTAGGCAACTCAAATCGCAACGTGGAAAGGTGGGATCAACAAACGAAAGATATCATTCGATTCCTTAGTAAAATTTTGTTTTGTTATTGTACAATTTTCACGTAGGTTAAAACTTTCGAACAACTTAAAGAAATCGGAGAGGTCAAGGTTCGAAACTCGATCCGAGAGTAAAAACTCGTCGATTTTTTGTGTATGATTGTTCTGCAGAGGCAGAAATGTGATAAAAATGAAAATAGAATAGAGAGCTTTCTCTACAAAGCTACAGAACCGATTTGCTTTCTAGAATTGTTACAATAAGAGGGGTTACACAGAAGTCTCAGAAAGATTGATTTCTAGAATTGTTAGAATAAGAAGTTACACAAAGTCTCAGAAAGATTTCATTTCTAGAATTGTCAAATAAGAGCTTGTGCCTATAAGCTGCAGAAAGATTTGCTTTTAGAATTTGACCAATCGATTTCCCTCTATAATAGTAGATAGTCGCGTAGTCGTAAGTCACTAAAAGTTTTCTTAGTTTTCATTTCTTTAAAAACTTTCAAAGAAAATAACCTAGATTTGCAGGGATTTTTAAAATGACAGAAATGCAGAAAATGACAAAGGACTACAGAAAATGACTATACTTTGTTGTTGGAAAGGAAAGGAAAGAATTTTAAGAAATGGAAAGAGAGATCGTGGTGCGCATATGATAAACATCAATATGAAAGCAGTTATTGAAAAAGCTAAAGCGGGTTTTCTATAAAGTAAGCATGTTGGTTAGGGACAGCTAAACTACGGACAATCAAATAGGATTATGAAAAACGATCGTCACTTTCGCGCGTCTGTAACTCCCTTGTCTTTGCGCGTTTTAAAACGATTAAGTGTTTGACATTTTCCCTCCAAGCTCTTTTCAACGGCTACACAATGGTAATATTATTAATATTTGAAAATACGGTAAAAGACAACGTTAGCATAGACGCCCGAAAGTGACGATCTTTTTTTCAAATATTATATTACGCTTTCTCATTGTTCAGCAGTGTAGTTAAAGTTGATGGTTTCCAGTGAAGCACTTTCGCGCGTCTGTAACTCCGTTGTCTTTACCGTATTTTCCAAATATTAATATTGCAATTACGTGTAGCGCCGTTGAAGGAGCTTTCAGAAAATGTCGAAACACTAATCGTTTAAACGCAAAGACAACGGAGTTACAGACGGCATAGTGACGGATCGTTTTTTCAAGCCATCATATTTCATTGCATATCCATTATCCCATAAAGCAATGCCGAGCAGAAAATGCTTTTAAAACAAGACTACGTAAAAACACTCGCTCAATCATCATCAAAAACAAAGTACAAATACCAGTATTTAAAAGTCATTTAAACTTTATTTTAACTTTTATTTGTAACTTTATTTTAACTCTTTCCCGATTACAAAGCCAAAAGAAACGCTTAAAATGATAGCTTTTAAGGCTCTTAGATTCATAAAGAGTACAACATAGATGATGAGCGTTTACAGCTCTTAGATTCATAGAGTACACCAGATCGTCAGCGTTTACAGCTCTTAGATTCATAGAGTCACCAAATGGTCAGCGTTTACAGCTCTTAGATTCATAGAGTACACCACAGATAGTCAGCGGTTTCAGGCTCTTAGATTCATAGAGTACACCAAATGGTCATCGTTTACATAATCCTTCTAGCTGGTCCTCAAAACTTTAAAATCAAAAGAGCCCATACGTGCGAATCCATTTACTCTTGTGAAGCTTCCAGATCTCTCCCAAAATATCGACTCAAAATAAAAAATCTCGACATTCTGCCAGCCTCAGTCACCCGCCTCGATGGCCGAGATAGATTACCTAACCAGCATTTTTCCGATAACCTTCACAAAAAAAAACAAAGAGTAGACTCAAAAGAGTTAAAGAGTCAAAGACTTGAGAAAAGACTTGATTCCCCATGTAGCACAGTGGATCGGAGGCGTACAGTCAACAACCCGGATATCCCCAGCCTCTTTCAGCGCCTGACTCCACTTCTCTGGGTGTCAATAGGTATGACCCTTTGTGCTGTTCAGGAACATGAATCCTGGAACTCGCTACTAGACCTTTACGGACGGGTTTGAAACAAATAGCAGCAAATTACAAAAAAAGTACAAAAATTCGTACGACTGTACTTGGTCGGAAAAAAGACGAATCACAGATTTTCGAAATTCCTCCGAAAAATCGATTGCATTATCTAGTGTGCGCTCCCAGCTTGGCTCGTACGTTCAAAATATTTGTTTGAGTTTCTTCGCCAAAAATCTCAAGCAAAACCCACCACTTCTCCCATAGAAACGCGCGCGCGGCTTCGTCCAACGCGCCCAACCCAGTCACAGCGCCTAAGCCACCTAGGGCCGCTGAAATTTTAACGAATTAAAAGGATTAATCTCTTATTTTTAGCTCATTTATATCTTTAATTTTAAAAAAATTTAGTAAAAAACCATTTTGATGTTTAAAAGATGATTTTTGACTTTTCTTGATTTTTGATTTTAAAGTTTAAAGTCTTTTTTTAATCGTTACGATACTAATTTCTATAGTAAATTATAAGAAGATTATTTGAAGGAAATTGATCTCCAAAAACTTGACAAGGTTTTTGGTGTCTAAGACAACTAGACAATCCAGCAGCTCAAGCTCAGGCTCCGGCTTAGCAGCTCAAGAACTCAAGCTCAGCAGCTCATTGCTCAGCAGCTCATTGCTCAAGCATCCCTTACGGCTCAGCAGCTCATTGCTCAGCAGCTCATTGCTCAGCAGCTCATTGCTCAGCAGCGCTCATTGCTCCAACAAGCTCATTGCTCAGCAGTTCATTGCTCAGCAGTTCATTGCTCAGCAGCTCATTGCTCAGCGGCTCATTGCTCAGCAGCTCATTGAACTTACCCCGTTAACAAAGCCGAATTCGTTACGCAATTCCCGTTAAAACAATATTGACCAAATGGACATGAAATGTATCTGGAAATGATTGACTTTAAGAAAAAGGATTCGACTTTTACTGATCGGCTTTCGAGTTTCTCAGGGGATTCTAGAGGAGTTTCTTCAAACCTGCACATGTCATTCATTCCATTATAACCCGACATCGCCGTGTATTTCGAGGAGTATCCCATTGAGCCAGTGAAATACTGAACTTAAAATTTCAATGGATTACAGTGGATTAAAATTTGAATTTCTTTTCAATTGAAGGCTCAGAAACAAAACTTGATCCCAGAAAACAGAACCAGAAGAATATTGTTGTTATTTTAGTTGTTTCTTCTTCTTCTTTTTGCTCCCATTTTAAATCCCATTTGAAGTATTGTTATAAAAAAATTATTCAAAAATATCTTTCGATATTCCCTTTCTAGAATGTGAAAAAGGGAAAACTGGTAAAAAGAGAAAAAGTGGGGAAAGGTTGAGGAAGAGGAGGAGTCAGAGCACAAATCTCTAACACCAAGTTCAGCAATGCAAATTGACGATGCATTCAAAAACTGATCCCTAGGGAAATGTTCTGTGCGTTCCAGCATTGAAAGTAGGCGAAAAATTTTGTAAATCTTTTACTTCAAAAAAGTTTATTATTCAATCGAACGTGTCTCCGGGAGCGTATCGAGACTGTTTGGAGTTGTGGAAGGCTGTGAAAAGCTGTGAAGGAGGCTGTGGAAAGCTTTGGAAAGGCTGTGGAAAGCTTTGAAAAGCTGTGGGAAAGCTTTGGAAAGCTTTGGAAGGCTGTGAAAACCTTTGGAAGGCTGTGGAAAGCTTTGAAAAGCTGTGGAAAGAGGAGGAATCCCAGAGCCCGCAAATCTCTAACAGGGTTCCCGGGAGTGGGAAGCGAGGACGGGACCACTGAGCCACCTCTGCAATGGATAACTTGGGGAGATTTGAGGTCTTAAAGATCCCAATGAAAAAAGCCTGAATTATCAGAATTTCAGATTCGAATCCGGAAGTTTTCTATTCAATTTGATTGTTCATTTAAATGTTAATTGTTACAATCCAAATTTCAATTTTGATTTCAAGTCAAAATCAATTCAATTCAAAAACCAATTCGAACTTCAATTCGAACTTCAATTCAAATCCCAATTCAAATCCCAATTCAAATCCCAATTCGAACTAAAGCTCAGATCAATTCCAATCTCGATTCAAATCAATTCAAATCCCAATTTAGATTCCAATTTAGATTCCAATTTAGATTTCAATTTAGATTTGAGATTAAATCTCGATTCAAACCAAATTTCAACTCAATTCAAATCCCAATTCAGCTCAAAATTCAAATCCGAATTCAAATGAATCCCAAATCTCAATCTGAATGAGGATTTTCCTTCAATCGAAACCCGGGAATGCCTCCAATTTCCTGAAGCAATAACAAATATTTATTCGTTTCGATTATTTGTACATGACATTGATGAATCATTAAAGCTTAAAGGTATTGCTATACGATTTTAAAGGATTTAAATATCGTTTTCTCGAGCTCAGCCTTTTATTTATCCCATTCGAAGTCGATTTAGCCACAAAGGAACACTAGTGATTTCGATTGCAAGTGTTTCTGAAAGTGTTTTTTTATTATTTAACCTTTAAAGAATGTTTCTTTTAAATCCTCTTCACTCTGGAGGATTACTGTAAAAGAAATCACGCTTTTTACAACTAAAAAAGACAAGAATTGCTGTAGTTTTGAAATTGAGGAATGTACTTTATTGTACTGTACTTATTATGGATATTGTACTGTACTTATTTGGCTGGCTGTACTTATTGTACTTTTTGTGCTGTACTTATGTACTTTATTAGCCCTTATTGTACTGTGTGGCTAACCATTTACTGTAGCTATTGTACTTTTATAGACTCTACCGATAGTCTTGTCGAAAAGAGACAATCGTTGTCCGGTAGTACAAAAAAGCGTAAATATGTACTTTGCTGTACTTATTGTACTGTATTGCTAACGATTTATTGTAGCTATTGTACTTTTTAAAAGGCCCACCGATAGTCTTGTCCGAATGAATAAATCGTTGTCCGTCTACAATTGAAAGCAGCCGATCCAGTGGAGATCATCTAAAGAAATTTCGAAATTCAAAAGAAAATTGAGATTTCTAAAGATGCCGAAATGTTTTCCTGGATGTCACGACACATTTCTAGAATTCTTGAATAACGTTTTTCTCATTTTTCCCTTTTTCGAAAATTTGTCTCCTTACTACCGTAATCCTGGTGATTTTTTGTGTGAAACGGTTTAAAAGCTATTTTTCAAATTAGAAATGAGCTACAATTCGTTTAAAATTTGTTTAGAATCTATTTTTCTAAACTTTTCACTTACTTTCAATACTCTTTTGTGCATTTCCAGTGGCTGTTAGCTCGTTTTCAAAGCTGTACCCTCTTTCAAGAAGCAATCCGAATCATTCTCACAGATCGCCCTCAAACAGATGCCCAACTAAAAAGCGGAGGATCGAAAGTCGAAAGACAAAAAAGACACAAAAAGAGTACAAAAGAGTACAAAAAGTATAAAAAAGTACCAAAAAAAGAGTACAAAGAGCACAAAGATCTATCTAATTGTTTAAATAGCTTTCATCCACTTACCAATATTGAGAAGAGAACCAACCGAAGCATATCTCCGATCACATTGTAAGAGCTCCGAGGTTTATACTCTAAAAAGATGAATGGATTGATTAATGATTAATGAATTAATGAATTGATTAATGGGAATAAAAGGCAATAAAAAAATACCGACTGGGGCTACCAGTGGTGAATTTATCACATACACGAAATATATCAATCTTTACCGTATTTTCAAACAATAATATTACCATTATTGTAGCCGTTGAAAAGAGCTTTCAGAAAATGTCAAGCACTAATCGTTTAAGCGCAAAGACAATGGAGTTACAGACGCGCAAAAAGTGACGATCGTTTTTCAAATATCATATTTCATTGTCAAACACTGTTACAACATAAAAGAGATTACGATTCGCGAGCTTTTTTAAAGTTTACATTAGCCCTTAGTGTTCTTTATGTCGTTTAGAGGGCTTTAGTGGTTTTTGCTGGCAGTTTACAAGCACAAATAAAGCTGGTAGTTTACAAACACACTACTGGACAATGGAATATGATATTTCGAAAAAAAGATCGTCACTTTCAGGCATCTGTAACTCCGACCGTCTTGACCATATTACTAAATATCAATATTACCGTTGTCCAGCCCTTGAAAAGAGCTTTCAGAAAATGTCAAACACTAATGGTTTAAGCGCAAAAGACAATGGAGTTACAGACGCTGCGAAAGTGACGATCGTTTTTTCAAATATCATATTTCATTGTCCAGTACTGTACAACATAAAAAGACTCATTTCCATAATTGTTCCAATAAGCTTAGACGAATTTTTGGATTCATTCTGATTCTAGGCTTCAGCGCATCGAAAAAAAAGCTTTTTTACCGTAACTCTAATGTCTCGATTATTTAGAAAATAGTTCGAAAAAAGGTTTCTTTTTAAATAACACCAAAAAAGCTTCATCAATTCATTAATTATTAGGCTAAAAAAAAATACCGACTGGGGCTACGAGTGGTGAATTTATCCCATACACGAAATATATCAATCACAATACAACGACACACAAAATACTAGGCTATATCTTAACTTAACCCACGTCATGACAGATGGCTCCCCCTAACCCTAAGCTCAATAGGAAACTAAATAGCTTTTTGGTGGTGAAGGGAAGATGACGATGAAGGAGTGGCTTGTCACTTTTAAAGAACTGGGGCCACAACCACCAGACTGCCCTCCCGAAGGCCTCTCAAGCCGAAGAAAAGGAAATCCGAAGGGAATGACCATGTCGCATGTGAGGGTTCGAACCCTCGACCTTCCGATTAAAGATAAAAGACACTTAACCAGTCAAAAATACGTGCTTCAATAGGATTCAAAAGTTCCGATCGACAGCAAGAGACTTCGAGGTTTCTCTAAAAAGATTTGAATGATTTTGAAATTAATTTTGAGACATCAAAATCAATTAGAATTAGATTAAATTAAATTAAATTAGAATTAAATTAAATTAAATTAAATTAAACAGAATTTAGAAAAATTGTTTTCATGTTTATTCAAAAAAAATCTAGTTGATCATTGGAGAGTTGGGTAAAAAATTCCCTCCTTTTTTGAAATCTCTCTTCTGTTTATGACAGAATCGGGCATTTACAATTCTCATTGAATCGAAGGAGAATGGCATTTCGAAAGGAAAATGAAAAAGATGAATGGATTTTCCCGTCGCTTTCGCTTTTGAGAAAAAAACAAAAAAAGGCAATGGGATTCGAAAGTTCTGATCGATCGCAAGAATTGATTGCATTTTCATTTACAAGTTTACATTGCAGTTTTTTATAAAACTTCAATGCAAGGCATCGGACAAGGATAGGCTCAAGGGTCCAGTTGAATATAGCCGGCTATTACTTAGAGCTCAGGCTTAGGCTTAGGCTTGGGTTTGGAAGCCCAGCGGACTTGAGGCTTAGGAAGCCTTGGCCTAAGCCTAGGCCTGAAGCCCCTAAACCTAAGCCTAGGACTAAGCTCCAAGCATCAACCTAAGCCTAAGCCTGAGGCTAAAATAAAGGATCTGTAAACTGGGACATGTTGAGATCCGGACAGCAAGGAAGGTCTAGAGATCTAAAGGTCAGATTAGTTAGAGATCTAAAGGTGTCGTGACGATCTCGTGATCCAGGAATCACCACGGATGGAAGCCGTCAGCTAGACACCTTTGTGGGCGAACGCCTATTATTGCGAGATTTAATATGCGTCGCTATCCGTTCAACTCCATTGTGTGCCAAGATGAGAACAGCGCCAAGAAGTTCTGTATAAACGCAATGTGAACGAGCTGCCGGGTGTGCCGTGGAGTCGTCTCTACTCTCCCAATCTGAAACCGCTGAACCAACTATTATTGCTGTAATAAAGATTATATCTAAACCAACAATAGTCACTACAAAAGGAAGGCTAGAGACTAGAAGGTCTAGGGGCTAGAGGTCTAGAGGTCTAGAGGCTAGAGATCTAGTGGCTAGAGAGTCTAGAGGAAGCTGGGAAGGCTAGAGGTCTAGAGGTCTAGAGGCTAAGAGATCTAGTGGCTAGAGGTCTAGAGGCTAGAGGCTAAAGGTCTCCTCGCCTCTGGCCTCTAACCTCGACCAGTCTAC